GAAAACCCCCATTTTTTACCCCATAAAACCCCCCGTAAACCCCTGTTCCCATGGTCCGATTATGCTGGTTCGCGAACTCGTTCGAATAAACGTAGGTTTACACGTTTTTACCAAATTTCATCAAAATGTGATCATTTTTGCTCGAGTTATCGCGCTAACGGATACCGGTACATATATACAGGGTGATCAACTCAAGGAGGTCACCATTGGGATATTAAATAAGGGACATTCCTTTATTTTTTGTGGCAGTTCAAAATAAGAGTTTATATTTTGAAAATGGCAGCCAACTTTGAAATTTCTTATGGAACACCCTTTCATGTTTTCGGATAGAACATGCAATTTAAAAAGTTGTTTATTTTTGACATTTTTTCGATAAACCCACTCGTTTAGGAGTTACAGCCTATGGAAAAAAGACTTCCGGTGTACATTTTAAATCATGTAGCTCCTAAACAAGTAGGCTTATAGCGAGAATGCGAAGAGTAAATAAGTCAAATAAGTCTTAAAATTGCATCCACATTCCAAAAAGACCATAAAATTAGTTAAAAATATTAATTCCAAAATGGCGACAAACTTGAAAAGTGGAAAGCCGTGCATTTTATGGTCTTTATGGAATGTGGATGCAATTTTTTATTCTGTGTTCGCACATTAACAGGAACAATTAACAGGAAAAAGTTGGATCAACAATTAAAATTGTCAACTGATCAGCCGATTAGTTGACTTTCGAAGCATTCCAATTCATCGACATATAAAACTAACTTGTATATATTTTATGTATTTCTGTAATTGACGTAACCAATGCATAACTTATGTAAATCTGGTTAAATAAATCACTTATGACTTTAGAGTAAAATACCCCCGCCGCAGCAAACCTGCATACTAAGCGAATTTCCATTTGCCTAACTGGATTTACACTAAAATGTCTCCTTTAAAATATCACGTAAACTATCGTACGTAACTCGTCCAAAATGTGTGTACCGGACTCGTATGGTAATCCCGTACTCGACTTCGTCTCGCACGGAAACGACCACACTCGTCCGGTAAACACACTTATTTTCAGGACTAGTAACGTAATTGAGCGAAGCGAGCGGAGCGAGCGTAGCTCACTTTCCCTCACTTTGTAACTTCTTTGTAAGAGCATCAGAATGTAATGGCTTGACCAATTGATATGAAATTTGGCCAAAAGCTAAAGAATACTGAGCACAATGTTTTGGTAAAAAAATATTTGCAAATTTCCTTCTGGATTTTATTTTACGGGTCACGCAATTTCGCTTGTTATTTTAATGTAAGTTGAAAGAAAAAATATATTGGGTTTATGACATATGGGTTTATCTTGTTTTATTTAATTAAGATAAACATATGTTAATTGTTTGTAACTGTTTTGTTTACATTTCAATGTTTACTTTCATCCTAGGTTAAAGTTAGTTTATCAATGGAAGTAACAGTTTTGCTATATTTGTTTTGAGCATGGCTCAAAGACCACGTCGTAATATTGGTCGTCGCACCAATAATGCAAATATTGTAAGATAGTGGCGTCGTGAACAAGAAGAACCAGATGAAGCAGTGGCGGAAGAAGCTGATAATGATAGGCAGTTAGCTAATCAATTCCAAAATGAATTAGATGCACTACAATTTTATACTTGCACTAACTGTCATCGCCAACAACTAACAGCTTCAAACCAAACACCGTTTTGTTCGCGTTGTCGTTCAAATGCAACTAAATTCACGGCGTTAAATAATATAGATGAGTCAAGTGTCTCGAACGAATTAAGACCTGACGATTGTAGAACAAATGTTGATTGCACGAGTACATCCTGCTATGCCCATTTACAAAGTAGGAGTACAAGCAAATAGTCAGGATGGCCAGTTTCACTACAAAGGTACAGTATGAACTATCAGATAAATTTGTAATTCTTTAGAACTTAAATAATATCGGGCAGCAAACGGTGAATCTGTTGAAAGGGAACATATTGAAGGGTGTTCGCTGCTTTAGCCATTGACAATCTTTAAATAATGCTTCGCTCATTTATGCGTCTAAAGTGTAACGGCAGACCACCCTAGTATACTATTACCGTGTACTTAGTCAGCTGTTGAAATAAACAGCTAATTTCAGCGGCCTATTTTATAAAAAAAAAATCTAATTTATGTTCTGTCCTAAATAAATTGTGTCGCACGAAAATCCCGTACTCGGCTACGCCTTCGATAAAACACCTTACCGCTTACCGGGCTAGTAACGTAATACAGTAGGCATATACTATTATTTTCTTTATACCTACTGCATTTAGATAAGGCGTTTAAGTTCCTTAAGCAGCCAAACAGTTTACAGGTGGTTCTGATGTGTGTTTCTAAATACTGCAACAACTCTATGATTTATTTTAAATACCCCCGTAGCAAACCTGCAGACTAAACGAATTTCCATTTGCTTGATTGGATTTACACTATCTCCTTAAAATATCACAAAATTATTCCCTATTTCAATATTGCATTAGTTTAACAAGTACTTAGGTAGGCCTATGTTGTAACAGGGAGGGTTTTAAAGTTTTTTTTTTTTAATATTATTACATGTAGGTAGTTTAGTATGAAATAAATGCATTTTCAAATTTTGATCAAAAGATGTTCATAAACAAGCTAACTATAACAGTTTACTTATTCTCCATAAGAATAACATAGGGATTTTAAATTTAAAACTGTTTGAGTTTTCTCCGTAACCATTAGGCAACTGTTTGCGCATAATAATGCTTCAATATACTAAATAATTTGTTTTTAAGCTCTACAAAATAGTTTGGAAAGAAATTATTGCAAAATTTTATGTTGTCATTGCTTTTAATGGATCGCCATATTGGCAATGGAATGGTTAACAAAAGAATCAAAGCATCTGCAGAGGCAAATTAACGCAGTTTTTTCATTTCCTCATTTCCGGTGTAAGTTGCTGATACAAATGTACTACAACTCATTTAATATTTCAAAGTGTAACAGTGAACAACGTAAAATTGTTATTTGGGTTAATCTGTTTTAACACTAAGCTAGCAAGTTAAATGAAAAAAACTATGTACTATATCATTATAATTTCAAATAAATGTATGATTGAAAAAACTTGGATGGATACCATAATCATCCTCTATCAAAGTTAGGCCTAGGTAGCACATTTTAACTACCTTCTTACACGAAAAAAAACAGTCAATAAATCATAATACAAGTGCGACAAATGTCAAATTATTTTAAGCCTTCAAACGGCAGAACACATATTATATACACAAGATAGTTGAGATAGCATTGACAAATTTGAAGGAGACTGCAAGCGCAGTGAATAGAAGTCGTTCGGAGTTTAAAAAAGAACGACTCTCATTATACTCAACCGATCTGTTCAGCAAGAGCTGTTCACCTTCAATTTGAATCTCCCGCTCTTTGTCGATCTGTTTTGCTTGTCGACATTTTGCGTGTCGATAAAGTGGGAAAATTTACACAACCGTCCCACATAACAGACATCCCACATAACCGACATCCCACTTTACAGACATCCCATATTACCGACACTGTCGACATTTTGAGTTGTCGACATTATGGGACTATTTCAGTGTCGATCTTTTGGGATGTCGATAAACTGGGACCCCACGATTGAAATCACGTCTTGGATATTTTTCACTGATACTTGAAAATCAATGTGGTAACTGATACTCCAAGGCGTCTAGTATCAGTGATTAACGGTACTACCCGTGGTCCGTATCACTCCGCTATTTTTCCTCGGCAAGAAATGTGCTCCGCGTTTTGAGAATATAGTTCCGTATTTTTAAAAGTATTATTCACATGGCCAAAATGTAAACAACTCTGTGGAGGGATCTTTAAAGGCTTCTGGGGCAGAGCCCTAAGGGATTTTGCTTAGTTTTTCTTTTGATAACTCATCTACAGACCAAGACCTTTCTTTGGACACCCCTACCAAGTTCCTACGCCCATCCGTTCTCTCAAATTAGTAGGGACAAAGTTTCCAATTAAATATTTAAATTCCCCAATGTTAATCTTATGGGAGTAAATCCAACTTTGATGGCCTGTGGGGCAAAGCCCGAGGATTTTTATTACAGGAAATGGTGAAAGGGGCGTCTACACAAAAAATACTTTATTTTGACACGTCGACACGTCGTTTGTAAATATCCGTCCATTATTAACGGAGGAGTAGTGTTTCGTAGAAATCGCCTTCACGTATTATACAGAGTGTTTTTTTTAAAAACTTGCATCTTTATTTATGTAAAAACCGCAATAGATAGAAATATGCAGAGTGCGGGAATCATCTATTGACGTAGGGGGCCCAATTGTTTTGAATTCAACGTTATATTCACATTCCCCCCTTTCCACCCCTGCCACCAACTTATTTTTTTAAAATAGCAAGGTACCCCTTGTGACATATCAAATGAAAAAGCATGAAAAAAGAAAATTTTTGGTGAAATTTATTTTTCATTTGATATGTCACAAGGGCGGGTACCTTGCTATTAAAAAACAAGTTATGGGTAGGGGAAAAGGGGAGGGATTATCTCACAAATTCATGGGCCGATTTAAAATTTTTTTAAAAAATTTTTTTGTCATGCTCTTTTATTTGATATGTCACAAGGGGTACCTTGCTATTAAAAAAAAATTAAGTTCCGGGGAAGGGGGGGGGGGAAATATCTCGAAAATTTATGAACCGATTTTCAATTTTTTTTTACTTACACAACCGTGAAAATATATGTTTAATTCCGCGTTTAATCCATCGAGCTGATGTCGCGAAACTCAAAAGTTCGTGGCCGGAATTTTACCCCCTGGTTTGTGACGTCTATTTTGCCCAGGGGGTAAAAATCTGCTACCCCTAAATAAGGTACAAAATAGAGTTTTAGACACTAGCGCAACCTGTGACTGGCTCACACAACTACATTCCTTTTTAGTAAAAAATTGGCGACAGCTGATCCATAGATGGGATGTCTTCTTCTGTATCCAATAGTCAAAGTCAATGCTACTACTGTCACTGTACTGTCACTTTGTCGTCTTGGCAACTTGTCATGTCGTGTATGTGTGTGTTGTGTAGTTGATATTATTTCAGTTCAGTATTTAGCAAAGATTTTCTTAACAGTACCAGTGCTTGTTAAACTTGTTAGTTTTTTTTTATGATCTATCTAAGTCGACGATGACGTTTAACACTTGCTTCTTTGAAGTTATTTTTTAAAATTACAATAACAACGATTGAGTTAGACAAGACTTAAGTTAGATGACTGTTTTGGTACACACTAGACCTATCATGTTCTAGGTAAACTTATATTAATGAAGGCCAACTAACTTAAGAACATTTTGTGTTTAATCTACTTTCTTTAACATTTCCTATGGAGGAAGAAAATAATCTTATCAGCCTATATGGGTTGGAATTCCCGGTGAGTAAAACTGTTTTTTTTTCAGCATTACTATGTTAACTATTCTGACGCCCCTCTTGTCCCTAATTGATGTGTTGCTAGCCTAGTGGTTAGCGTCTCGGACTTTGGTGCGGGAGGCACGAGTTCTTTTTTAATTGCATATCTTCCTCTAACAAAAGGCCGCAGCCACAATCCCCTTCGTCTGCTGGCCTACTAACTGCAGTCACTCCATGGCTGCAAACGTAGGAAATAACCAGCCAAACATGCTCTGACTCATCAATGTTATGCCATGGCGATGTTATCCAATGATGTACAAATTTGTCAAATGTAAAGTTTACACATTGCCAATCACACCCCTAAAATGTCTAGCCTATATAACTTAAACTTAACACACTCACAAAAGTGTAAACATTAGCAACGCAGACGCTCTATATGAATTACAGGGCTAGTGCTGCAGCTGACCGGCCGGGACTGCAGCGTTGCCACAGTATACTTCGCCGCACCCTTGTATTAGAGGAGGCTTGCTAACTAAGTTATCCACATTTCCAAAACATCAGAGTGTAAACATCAGAAGATCAGAGTGTAGTTTACCAGTGATCAACTTAATCTGTTTTAAGGTTGTTGAGTTGTATTCAATAGAAAATAATAGGCAATCTACAAAATCTGAAAATCATAGTAGGTACTTTCCTAGGCCTAGTCCAATAATATTAACTGAATCATAAATTTTTTTACAGAGCCGAGCTGTTTCTGCCCAGGTAGCTGAAACTGATGTTGTTCGGTTTCTTGTTGGCACTCAGACACTCAAGTTAGCCAATAACCAAGTACATCTAGTAGAGCTGAATGATGAAACTAGTGCTATAAATACAAAGGTAGGTAAATTAAAAGTACACTATTCTGTTGGTGAATTAAGTTAAGTTAGATCTTAGTTTGCTTCAGCTATTATTCACCAATAAAATTTTGTTATTTAACCAACTGACATAGTACGGTACTTTAACCTCCACAGGTGTACCAACACGGTGATGGAGAGATCTGGTCTCTAGTGGCGTCACCTAGTGACGCTCAGCTGATGGCTACCTGCTACAACACAGTGTCTGCGGACGGAGCTTGTGTGATGCGTTCGGCTCTGTGGCGACTGCCTGATTGTCCCGACAACTGCCCACCGTTGCAGCAAGTCTGCACCTTCGACACAGATGGACATGGGGAAAACATCAAGGTACTCTCATTGGTCTTATTTGACGATTATCATACACAAGTATTTCCACCACCTTCTTCGTAAAATAATTAACAAAAATCCTCTAGTTAAACTCTGAATTCATGCAGCCATAGTTTGTTTTCACCATGTAACAATTGACAGGTGACATGTTTCAATCCACTGGATGGCAAGCAGGCGGCTACAGTTGTCGACAACAAGTTCCTAGTGTGGGACCTGGGCGAGGACTCAGCTCAACTCTCCTCGGTCGGCACATTGCAGGCTAAAGGTATGTAAGTTTCATCTGTTTATGAAGGGAAATAAACAAGCTTTTCTTGATCTACGGCAGCTTTTTAAAATTTTTTCTTTCAGAGTGGTAGCAATTTTTTTTAAACATTGTTTTGGTTAAGGCCTCGGCCCAACTTAGATGTTAGGCTGTTAGCGTAAGTATGCCGATATTGATACAGACAAAAGGCGTTGAACCAGTATGCATGGCTTAAAACAGTTGAGCAAAAATTTTGTCAGAGTGTGTAGAAAACGCAGATATAAAGCAAGTTGGGGTCAAGTAGGCCTACTCTACAATAAGTTACAGAATTGTACAAAAAACCTTAGGTACATCAGAGACCAAAAGAGACAAAAATAGTAAAATGGTATATGCAAAACAGTCCTACACTTCCATCTGTCTAAGGGTCCTTTTTGTGTCTCGTCTGTTCAACAATGTCCTGATGTCTGTGTATCCCCAAATACACCAAAACACCACACTATCCAAGAAATGATCCTTTACATCAGCATCCTGCTTTCCTTTCCCAACTGATGACCAGTTGCTCTCAGGAAACCCGAAGCTGACCACAGGCAAGTGGAATCCTCAGCACAGCGGGCTGCAGTTTGCCACAGCTAGTGATACGAGTGTGCGGGGATGGGACCTAAGGGCTGGAAACAAGCAGACGTGGGTTATAGAGAACGCTCACTCTCAACTGGTAAGGTAAGTCAAAATTTTTAATATATATATGCTTTTAATACCATCTCTGCCCCATTGCAGAGAAACATTTATACAAAAACAGTTCAAAATTTGCATGTAACACAAAACTTAACGAACACAAAAAAAAAAGAAAAAGAGAATCAAATTGGTCAAACCCACATACTAACCATGCTACAATCTATTCCGAGAGGAGTAGGCTACCCTAGTATGCTGTCCAACAAGCACTACCACCTGTATGTACTTAACAGCCCTTAAAAATTGGTCAGGATTAAATTTTATTACTGTGATGGGATTATCCATATTCTTTAGAAAAAACAGTTAAGCCAAACCAGTTTTTATGTTAACTTAAACTATCCCCGTCTTAATATGCCTGGGCAGAGGTCGTTAATCCGAGCGATAAGTGAAGAAGGCTTGTTTAAGAGAAGGTCTATCGTGATTACATTTTCCAACTGTAGACATTATACAAGCTTGTGTTTACAACCAGGGACCTGGACTTCAACCCCAACAGACAGTATTACGTAGGCACGTGTGGCGACGACGGCTGCTCCAAGTTCTGGGACGTGCGTAGGCCTACTGAACCTGTCATCGTAAGATCCGACCACTCACATTGGGTATGGTGTCTCAGGTATGTTGTGGTCCGTACAGTTATGAAATACTGCAGAAATGTAGGAAATATGATGGCTGCAGAATCGTTGGTTCCTTGGGTGGTTTATAAGTTTTGTTAGTTGAATAATTTAATAGTCAATTTGTGAACAATATTATAGAACTGTGTAGTTAGGCTCCATTGCATGGCTCTTTTAAACGCATCTCGTAGGCTAGCCCTGTGAGTTTTGGCCAAGCTCTGGAAAAAGTTGACTCTGCAGGCTACTTTACAACTTAGCCTTTTAGCAAATCAGAAAAAAAAACTACCCAAGTTCACTCACAATTGCTTGTGCTTGTAAAATATTCTTTAGTTTACAATGAGCTGGTTTTTCAGTTTCTCTTGGTTAAAACGTTCGATTATATGCAAGATTTATTTACATCACCTTACATTGTCTTGGGTTTATTCAACTGTGATCATTTTTATTCTGAACCCGGCCCCAACCTAAACATGGGTATGAAACATCTGTTTCTATTTTTAGTTAATGATTTTAACTGTCATGAGCAACAAAGTGGGTTGATGCATTTCAGAGTGCTGCTTTGTTCTATGCGAGTGCCACTTTAGGTTATAAGAGGAAGTTATTGTATTTTGTCTGTCCAGGTACAATCACTTTCACGATCAGTTGGTGGTCACAGCCAGCAGCGATTGTGTAGTTCTGCTTACCAGTGTTGCGTCCATCGCTAGTGAACCACTGGACGATGAAAGCAAGGTGTGTATTGTGTTGGCATGGAAATGTCTCATTTGGCAAATTAATTCAAAATATCACTCATGTTGCACCAAGGTTTAAGTTTAGTCAGTGACAAACAAACCATTGCCTCTAGTAAAAATTTGTTGTAGTTGAGCGATCCATGATTTTTAATGCAAACATGATTGTGTTTTGTTTGATTTCGTGTTAGTAATGAGTTTGAATAATAAAAAATTGTAATCCGCTAAATTGTGAATTTTTTTTCTTAGTTCATTTGAGGTTATTTGTGTCTATTAAGGTACATATCAAGTTCATGTTATATATCTGATTTGACTTCATACTCTATGCCGGGTCTTGGCCTCTATTGAACCATATCACATCCTACTTCAGAGTCTTAACCCTTCCCGGACAGGCAAAATCGTGACAGAACGGGAAAAAAATATAGGAAAAAATAAAAATTATTTTCCTTATTTGCATTTTGTTATACAAGTATACATAAAATAAACACAATGGAACACTTCATACTGTCAAAATAATCATTTACTCGTTTTTAACTATGCGGATATATCCGCTACCCGTCCGCAGACGAGTAGAAATGCAGCGGATATATCCCCCACTTTGAAGATATGACCATGACAACGTTAGGCAATAAATAAAGAACAATATGTATACAATAAATAAAGACAACATAGTATTGAGCGCAAAACGTGGAGGGGGGAGCGTAGGAGAGGTGGGTGGTGTGCGGAGGGGGAGGTGCGGGAGTGGGGTAGTCACGGGAGAGAGGGGGGAGTGCGGGAGAGAGCGCAGCCATGGAGAGAGCAGGAAAGTGGCGCCTTGGTACCGCCAAACATCTGCTTACTGCTCAAGCACCAGCCAGTCTGTCTGAAGAGAAGGTGGACATATCCGCTTCCTGTCCGGAACATCAAAAACCATAAGGGGATATATCCGTCACCTATCCTTTTTTCGCCAAGGTTAAAATAATATCTTGTGATGTCGTCAAGGAAAATTGACTCTTAAAGAATACATAACACAACACAAAAACAGGAAACTAAAGAATACCACTAGGCCTTAGTTCACTGATGCGACGGTTGGTGACAGTGCACTGACATGAGTGCTTGACAACTTCGTAAATAGCCATGTTAAAATTATTTTAATGCCCTTGTGGATAAGTCGGAGCTGTCACAGAAAACAGGTATGTACATCAATATGAATTCATAAATAAGCTCTGGTAACACAACAATGAAAAACCTCCCACAGTGTAGCTATGGGAATACTAATAAGTGAGACTACAAAAACTTGTTTTCAGGTAAGACTAGACGATGGTGTGCTGGCAACTTACGACCAACATGAAGACTCGGTCTATTGCGTGGAGTGGTCTTCAGCAGACCCTTGGTGCTTCGCCTCACTTAGTTATGACGGCAGACTTCTCCTCAACAGGGTACCAAAGCAACACAAATATAGCATCCTTATCTGAAATGCCCTCGTTTTTCTTCTAACCAGATTCTTCCATTATGCAGTTAAGTCAGAAATATCATTGAATTCCCTCTGGAAGTGTGGCTATTATTGAGTTTTCGTGGTAGTAGTGTGTAGAGTAAGATATTACTGTCATTAGCGAAAATTAAGCTCCTCGTAATCTACAGGTTGTGTTAAAACAAACAAATTTGAGTGGCCTCCTTTAACACCCTGTCACCAGGTGTCACTATACAGGGTGAGTTTTAAATGAGTTCCCCCCATACTTTTTTCTACATTTCTTAAGATTTATGTATATTATGTGGTGTATACTTATCTTTATCTAGCACTATTTTGCGATTATTTTCTTAGTTTCTAAATGCACAATGTTAAAATGGGCTAAAAATTATGTTATAAAAAGTTCTCATAACTTTAGAATGGGTCAAGATTCTTTTAATCGGATTGCAGCATCGTATTCAGCATATAAAAGTAGTTTAAAACGATGGGTCACAACCCTACCTTTACATTTGAAAAAAAAAATTGTATCCAATATGGCAGATCCAAGATGGCGTCCAAAAATTTATACCCAGTCAAAATGAAGTACTTACTACTCTACAATGATCTGACGTGGTCCGGAGTTGATATCTTAAGAAATGTAGAAAAAAAGTATGGGGGGAACTCGGGAACTCATTTAAAACTCACCCTGTATATACAGTAGAACCTCTTTAATCCGAACTAATTGGGACCGGGGCTAGTTCGGACTAGGGAATAGTTCGAATTACAGAACATATTGTTGTTTTTACATAACAGTAGCTAGGGAAAAGTGAAAAATGCTTTATAATGTAAAATACAGAGTTTATTTATACAGTAGTAAACATAGGGAATAATCAGTACTGTAGGCCTACATTACAGTTGAAATAATTACGGTGCTTATATCAATAAATACAATATACAATAAAAACTACTGTACTGTGTACAGCAATGAGGCGTTCGGATTAGTGGACGCACGGATTACAGGGGCTCGGATTAAAGAGGTTTTACTGTAGTAATATAGGTTTGGTCATACCGTACCTCATACCTGGTTAAAACACTGAGGGTTAAGCAGGCTTTTATGACCACCATGTTAAAGTAATACTTGATAGAATGTACAATCTATCTTCCATCATGGCATATACCGGTCCAACAAGCTGGTTCGACCAGAACACAACTGCTATTATCAAGGTCCAGCACTTACTATTTGAATGAGGATGAGTTCAAAAACCTCTGTTGCTTTCATAAATCTAATGGCAACTTTTAACTTTCTTAAGAAGCATGAGGTTTTCAAGTTTTACAATGTCATTGCATACCCTTTCTTTTCTGTGTCTATTGTACTCCTCCAAGTTTCCAAACAGACTTATTATGGTTTTACTGGGTTTAGAGAAAGTACTTTCATATCAATTTTCAAGTACTGTTAAGGCAGACTTCCCTTTTATCCTTTCTAGTAATTTTGTCAATGCCAAAGATATTGTCCTTGCATACAGATACTGTGCCATGTTGTCTTGTAGCTGGGAAGGAACTACTGTATTAGCCACCAGTTTTTGTTTTTAAATTACTCGTCCCCAATGGCTGTATTAATCTGTGCTATGATTTAACACGGAGAAGTACTGTTGTCGTAGAAGTCGCATGAGCTAGCCTCTAGCCAGTGATCACTGCAGTGGAATGTAGTATAACTTGCCAGTCTCCAACCAGCTACATGTGTTCATCCGCCCAAGACACAACCACTGACTGTGTTTGGTTTGCGTTCATAAGATAAACGTCCACAACTAATAAGGCTATGAGAGCAGTTAGTAGCATTCTTCATGTCAAAAAAATTATAAAATACCCCTCCTTAAAAACATGTAAAATTCTCTGATTATTAGTGTTAACATCAATATTTGTAAACCTTTCTCTAACATGAAGGAGTTGGTGCTCACAAAGGCATCATAAAATAAAAGATAGTTCCAAAAATTATTGGATTTGTTAACATTCTTTATTCACATCATGGTAACAATTGCTAAAATAGTTACAAAATAAATATCTGAACTACAATATACAATACAGTTTCAATCTACTAGAGTACTAAATCAGATCTGGAACTTTACAGATTGTAAAAGTTCAAATTTGTATTATCTAGTAATTCTCAACCTAACTGGTTTAGTATTGTTTACAAAGGCACTTCATCTATTGGGTCGTGGGAGGAAAAAAGTAATATAAAAATTGAAATGAAACTAATTACGGAAGCACACTTAGTACATGTTGGAAATCTTTGAAAGGTCTTATATATTATATATATTATATCTTATATAAGTATATTAAAAAGGATAGTTAAAAAGTCTTAAAAATCTTAATGAATTTTTTAAACTAACAGTTGGACATCTACAATAAATTACTATACCAATCATAAATATGATACAAATCACTGAATAGATCATACAAAAAGTGAAAGCAATAGGTTTGACACAATGATAGTTCTAACAAGCCAACTTAATAAACTCTGCTAGTATCTCAAGTTTTCATGAAGAGCAATCAAGCTCTTCAAGTAAGACGATATCGGTTCTTGAAATACTTGTTTAAAAAGCATGATTACTTGAGTGCTCGCTCACTCCTAAAAATATAAATATCTTCACCATATATTCGTACTTATTTCCTAATGACTAATTATCACATTAATTTTAATTGTAAAATCTGTCTAGATTTTTATAGCAATTTGGCACGTTAACAATTCATTTTTTTATTGCACAATCCTAACTGTGCATTAAAAACTAAAGCTATAACATGGATATAAAATTGTTTATTCATTCAATTGATTCCTTGTAATGCAGAATATTTTTTCTACGTCTAGAAAAATACCTAATGTAAATGTATCAATGATTTACATATCTACAATACTCAACAGTTTTGGACAGTATCTTCCACCAAGAATGAAAAAATTCTATCAAAATAGAACAAATGTTTAAGCAATCTTCTATATACTATTATAAAAAAGAGGTGGTTGCTGTATGTGTGTATGGGAAAAGTAAACTCGAAAAATACTGGTCGGATTGGGCTGAAATTTGGCATGATGATAGCTCACATTCCCGATTAACATATAGGCATATTCTTATTTCAAAAAACCTTTCGGGCTCCGCCCCAGTGGCTCTGGAGTTTCCCATGTTAACCTTATGAGAAATGGAATTATTGAATCTTAACAGCTGTTTCAATGAAACAAGTTGGTTCTGTTCTATGATGATCAATAGCATTAAAGTTACAAGGATTACCAACAGGGTGCAGCACTATTATTTCTTTTACATTTATGACAACAGCTAATTTGCAACCAAAAGGTGAGTGAGCGTAGCGAACGAACTTCAACCTGGAGGCGAGTTAGCGTAGCGAACGAGCTAACCTGAAGGCAAGTGAGCGCAGCGAACGAGCTCCAACCTAAAGGTGAGTGAGCGTAGCGAACGAGCTCCAACCTAAAGGTGAGTGAGCGTAGCGAACGAGCTCCAACCTAAAGGTGAGTGAGCGTAGCGAACAAACTTCAACCAGGATGTGATTGAGCCATGCGAACGAGATAATCTTGAAAATTAAGAAGTTAAACGGGGCAAAGCCCGCGGGTTACAGCTAGTATGTTATATAATAACAATGTGTATTAATAATCAATGGTTGTTATTTAGAATTCTTTTTGAACCCAGTCAAACTATAGATAAAACATACTCCCCTAGTAGATCAATCATCCTTATGGAACAGCTAAAGCCAGTGTTTTGTTTAAAATTTGTTTCTTGTTATTTCAGTCATTTAAAACATCGTTTTACCAAATAAAACGATATAATCATAAACAATAACTCGTTTCCTAGTTATATAACCAAACAGTAAAGCCCAAATCATGAAATTAACCCTAAAATAAAAGAAACAAAATTTTGTTGCCCTAGCGATCAGTGTCACAGGACATGAACTAGACACGAAAAACCAGCTTCAAAATTTACAATGGGATGAGAAGTCTATTTGTTTTGGTTAGTCTATGGTCAGACTGATAGCTAGGATGGTCACTCACCTCCCAATTTGATCAATCAATCAATCAATTATTTAAGATGGGGACGCCACTACTATGTGCGTATTTTAACCCAAATATGAGTGAAGGATGAATGTAGGATGAGTGGCGCGATCTTGTAGTCTTGTTAGTGACTAAGGCCGACATATTCCTTAGACACAGCTGTTAATTAATATCCCATACAGCAAATGGCAACTCAGGGACCTACAGTTAATAGTGGAATCCGAATACATTTTTGCCTTGGTATTGATGAATTGGTCTAATTATCAGAATAGTACTGTGGATAGTCGTAGTACTCACGTTAATCCACACCAGGGAGTAACACATCCACAGTGCATGACTATAAATATCCATAATTCGTGACCTCCTAGTAGCTGGATTACAGGACGACGCCACCCGTCCCTTTGTATTTGACAGAAATCGCTCATTTACACCAGCGCAATCTGTCAGTTGCTCACTTCAACTATGTCCATTTAGATTTTAAAAACTGATGACAACTTTAACATGGGATGGAATGTCTAGTCAAAGCTATAACTTTAACTAACTCAGTTATTTCAGGTTCTTCAAAACCTAGTTAACCTCATTTTGCACAGACCAATGTTCGTCCTTCACCACATTCTTTCTTGTTTTTCGGCGAGTCTTTAGTTTTGCTGAAACAAAAAATTGAAGATTCAGTGGATACATTCATTGTTAGACATGTATTTATTAACCTTTTCCTTATGTAATTTATAGCATACTTTATGTAATATCCAACAATTCAGTACCTATACAAAATTGAAAGAGATAGCAGAATTTTGACAGTACAGGGTGTATAGTAAGTTTAAGTTAATTATTTTAGTAACAAGGCATGGCGAGTACAACGTTAAGAGACATGACCATTGATACTGATAAGACAATTCTTTTTAGTGATTTGAACATAAAATAGTCGGGCATACAATATTCTGTGCCGTAACAGTTTAAGCTGTTGTAGTTTGCTTGTATGTGGATATATTTTAATCGAATTGGGCAATTTTGTTCATTACTAAGCTATCAACATTTCTATAAAAAATACACCTCATTACCTTCCCTATAGCTGCAAACCTAACCTGTTGAAATTAATGTTAGACTATTTAGAAAGGAAATACATCTGACAACTTAATGGAATATTGTAGTGGGAATCTAGCCTGGTAAATGGAAATTCGCTTAGGTAGTTTTGCTGCAGCAGGGGTGTTATTTATTGAATACATTGGCTACAGCTGGTCTATGAAGGTGGGACGTCTACTAAGGTATCCAGAATCAACTTACCATTGAACATTGACAGTAAACATGTTGGGATCACACTGAGCGGAGTGGTGTTTCCCTTTGTCATGACACACGATGTGGACTAATCTGAGGTTCTGACTGGTGAACAGTAGAGAGTAGAAGTACGGAACGTTCACCTCACAATCCTTGTCTCTTTTGCAGACGACAAACTCTGCGGCATTCATCAACGCAGGAATGATGCTGCGCGACCTCTCAATGCTGCCACACACAGAAAAATCATAAGTTTCTGACGATAGTTGAATTTTGTACCTTTAAATCTGGAATTTTAATATTATATCTAATTTAAGTACAAATTTCATTTTAACTGCAAGTTACAGTACAGTACTCTAATTCAAATCTGAAGAATGCTGGTTTGATTCTAAGCAAGTTACCAGACCCAGACGACATTTATTATCGGGCTATCACACATTGAATCAATTAATGACACTTTCTAACAACAGGTTGACGTTCAGGATACAAAAACTTCCTAACCACCATTAGGCCTGAAGAAAAATATCTCTTCCTTGGTTGAGAATGCAGTCAGTGACTGTGAAATACTCCAATATTTTGTGTACAAGTATAAGGTTATAAAGGTTATACAGTAGTTGGTTATAGTTATACGGTAATAAAGTTGTAGCGTCAGCTGATGACATTGTCATAGCAACGAATTATGATTTAGTCTGGTTTTTGTTTTCTACAGGAATGTACACAAAAATTTAACTCTCGTATTAAACTACTTTTCTTTTACTTATTTTGGTCGTGGTTGTTTGTGTATATCAAATGAAATACGACCAAATAAGTAAAAGTTACTTTTCAAAATGATGTATAGATTTCTTTTCTCCATGGGGGGCTGGTGTAGCGTCAGCTGATGACGTTGTCATAGCAACGAATTATGATTTAGTCTGGTTTTTGTTTTCTACAGGAATGTACACAAAAGTTTAACTCTCGTATTAAACTACTTTTCTTTTACTTATTTGGTCGTATTTCATTTGATATACACAAACAACCACGACCATAAAGTTTTAGCGAATTTCCCAATAGGGAAGTAGCTATTACCGTAGGTGGCACGGTAAGACCTAAACCCGGGACCGATTTACTTTTTCATTTTGAAGTCCCCAGAGGCCAAAAACACCATTCGTTCAAATTTTTATGTATGTATATATATCTAATATATAAAATTCTCGTGTCACAGTGTTTGTCTGCAAACTCCTCCGGAACGACTTCACCGATCGTTATGAAATTTGGTGTGTAAATTCTGTAGGTATGCGAATCGGACGTAAACTATTTCCCGTTTCGAAATTCTTAAAAGGGCTCCGCCCCAGTGGCTCTGGAGTTTCCCATGTTAACCTTATGAGAAATGGAATTAATGAATCTTAACAGCTGTTTCAATTAAACAAGTTGGTTCTGTTCTATGATGTTCAATAGCATTAAAGTTACAAGGATTACCAACAGGGTGCAGCACTATTATTTCTTTTACATTAATGACAACAGCTAATTTGCAACCAAAAGGTGAGTGAGCGTAGCGAACGAGCTCCAACCTAAAGGTGAGTGAGCGTAGCGAACGAGCTCCAACCCAAAGGTGAGTGAGCGTAGCAAACGAACTTCAACCAGGACGTGATTGAGCGATGCGAAGAGATCATCTTGAAAATTAAACGTAACGGTACTTTCTTTCCATCGGTCTGTCTTAGGGGAAACCTATAACTTAGGCGATACGAAGTTCGCCGGGTCAGCTAGTATATATATATATATATTTGTATATACGTCCGTGAACCCGATAACTTGAGTAATTTTTGTCCGATTTTGATGAAATTTGGTTTAAAGGTGTAAAGTGGGATAAACTTGAATGAGTTTGTGAACCAGCACGATCGGACCATGAGAACGGGGCTTTACGGGGGGTTTTATGGGGTAAAAATTGGTTTTTTTCTCACTTTTGACCCTCAAAACACAAAAAAACAAATAATTTACTATATAAAAGTATTTTTGTTCGATTATTGGTAACGGAGAAAATTAAAGAAATTGTAAATTTAAAATTCCCATGTTATTCTTATGGAGAATATTGTCAAATGTTGTAGTTTGCTTGTTTATGGATATATTTTGATCAAACTTGGCAAATTTATTTATTTTGTACTAAGTATTATTTTGTATTGTACTATCAATATTTTACTCAAAAACACACTTTTTATTAGTTTCCTTGTAGCAGCAAACCTAGGTACTCGTTAAACCTAATGTTATTAAAATATATTTAACTGAAAATCAATTCAGACAAATGGAAATTCGCTTAGTCGGCAGGTTTGCTGCGGCGGGGGTATTTTGTTTCTTGTGCCCTCATTCATGTAAGCCTCACTAAAGAATTCTTAGGTCTAAGTTAGATAGTAAAAAGATCAAGATTTGCACTATTCCTTTAGTTAAACCAATAAAATGTCAATGAAGTTAAAAACAATTAAATTTAAAAAAACTTACCAATGATCAAGATTCCAAGTTGAAAAGACAATTCTTTCCTCTCTGCTCGTGTAGGGGTTGATCAAATGGCTTTTCCCTCCATTGTACAAACACTCCTTACTTTTCCAGACTCCAGAGCATTTAAACTCGCCAGTATCATTACACAGAGCTCCTTCAGCACTACGGTCGAAATAACAACCGAAATATTTATCTTTATTTAATGTTTTTGAGAGGTTTGTAAATATATCATCTAATATATCTCTAAACTCATTATTATTTGTGTATAAAGAGGACTTTTTCATGTCACTCTTTGTCTTATATAGGTAGCCTCGTACTCTTTCCTGACTTCGGCGGAACATGAACGCTTCTTTGGTGGTTGCGTTGGTTTCCAGACCTGTAAAAATGTCTTAATTAAACTCCTGAAAATGCAATTATTGGAAAAACCATGTACCTACATGCAGACAACACCACATTTATAGTACAGTTTCACTAACTCTGTATAACGTAGAGCAGAAGGGTGCAAAGTTTGAGAAACACCAGGTTAAAAAATAGGAGCGAAAATATGCAAAAATAAAACTGAGACATAACAAAGTAAACTTTTTTATCTATCATAAAGAGGTAGCCTACTAAATTTACAGGACCATAAAATTGCAATACAAAAATGTAGGCTAACTAATTTAAAAAACTATGTGACTTTTTTTCCAATAAAATTCTAAATTATGAGTGGTACTAAACGACAGATTGACAAGCTAGGATGCCAGCTAGCACTACTGTCGGCTAGCCTACTATGCATGTATTGTGTACTATCAAAGCTGCCCAGTTTTGTAGTAATAAATAACACCAGTATAGGTTTTAAGTGGAACTTGCTTAAAAGTTTTTCACTGGTTCGCCGAACAATTCCAACCGACAGGTTATTAGGTAACTTACTGGTTCGCAGGAATTTACTGTTGGAGAACTCAGAACTGCAAGAAAATAATTGACGATTTATTTTTTGAATAAGATCCCTACCATGGAAGCCTACTTACCCAAAAACCAGTCGGGGTCATCATCTTTTCTACTGAAAAATGTTTTGCAATCAGTGCTCTTTTTGTCACTCAAAACTTCAGCCAGAACTCGAACTTTTTCTTTGATGTTTTCATCAAAAAACTCTCGAACTTTTTCACCAGCCCGGAGAAAATCAATGTTGACATATCTTAGTGTGTTATAAATCAAATCAGCACCTGAAAATTAAAAAAAATTTCATTCAACATGTGAATTATTGGTAGGCCTAAGTTTTTTTTTTTTAACTTTATTTAATTTACAATCTGTTCAAGTTGAACAATTAGCAAATGATATAAATAGTAATACAAAAATAACTTGAAGAACATGAGCTAGTGATTGACCACTGTCAACACTAGCTAACAAAGAGAATTTTGATAACACTTAGCCGAGTCTGAATGGTAGGTCCAATATCGTATGTCGCTTCAGTCTGTAAATGATGTTGTGATTGTCCAATAAATTAAGTGCAAGATGATTTGAATGATTTTCCAATTTTATAATGTATTTTTCACTAGATTTTGTAATTTTTTCTTTGACTGTTCGAATTTAAAGATCATTGTGAAGTGTTCTGTTGGTAACAAACCAAGGAGCGTTGACAATTTTACGTAATAATTTTGATTTGTAACGATGAATAATTTAAATGTTTGAGGTACTTGCTGATCCCCAAAGCTGAATACCATAAGTCCTAATTGGTTTTAGAACTGTTTTGTACAGTAACAATTTATTTTGTGTACTGAGTTTTGATTTAGATCCAAGAAGCCAATTAAGTTTAGTTGTTTTTAAATTTAGATGTTGTCTTTTAGTCCAGATATGTGCCTTCCAATTAAGCTTTGCATCTAAGTGCATGCCCAAGTATTTTATTTCTGTTACTTGAGGGAGGTGAATATTGTTCATGGATACTGGAGGACATGTAGCCTGATTTAAGGTAAAAGTAATGTGTGCTGATTTATTTTCATTAATTTTGAACCTCCATGTTTTAAACCAATGTGAAATTTCATCCAAGTTTAGCTGTAAATTTGCTGTAGCCTCTGGGTGTAGCCAAACGTGACCCCCATTCTTGATGCTTTGCATTAAAATCACCCCCTGCAATTAACATAGAAAAATTAAATTGACATTTAGTATAAAATTTCCTAAAACAAACCTCAACTTTCATCATTCATTCCCTATTAACTAGTGGAGGCGTATACTAGACGTCAGATGTGTGGAAAGCTTTTTTATAACTACGGAATAAAATTCCCATATGTCTCATGGTAAGACCTAGACCCGGGACCAATTCACTTTCTTATTTTGATGTGCCCACAGGCCAAAAACACCATCTGTTCAATTTCATGTAGCCTATATAGTGTGTGTATATTTCTGCAAAATAAATTGTATAAAGATTATCCAATTTTGATTTAATTTGGTAAACATGTGAACCTAGGTTTATTTGAACAATTTCGCTAACCAGCATGATCAGACTATCGGAACAGTGTGTTGCAGGGGGTTTTACTGATTATAAAAATAGTTTTTTCTCAATTTGTTTGACCCTAGCATATATAGAATTTCCCAATTCCTCTCCAAATCATTTTGTAGAGAGAAAAAAAAATTACAATTCAGTAGGCCTATTTTTGAGTGTTTTTATAAGACAAATAAGACATTTTATTAGACATTTGACAAAATTACTAAATTTTGCAATAGGCATCGTCATATATGATTCACATTGAAAAACAAGCAACATTAAATTGAGCTAACATCACAGAAAAATCATGTAGGCCTAAAATCTAAAATTAGGCTAGGCTTGAAGACTCTATTTTAATATTTAAAAATTCATCAAGAGTATAAAATGGGTTCAGTTGTAACCAATTATACAATCTGTTATGAAATGCTCTTTGAGGCAAACTCTGAAAAGACAATGGTAACTTGTTGAAAAATGTTACACCTAAATTAACATGATAATTCATTGATTTACTTAACCTAAACCTTGGTTGATCTAATTTATGCCTAAATCTGGTCACATGATCATGTATTTCTTCTCTGACAGAAAACATATTTAAATTAATTTTGACAAACATCAATACCTCAAAAATATACAGGTTAACAATAGTCAGGATCCCCAATGAGACAAAAAGTGGCCGTAAGAGAGCCGTAATGGTAATCTGGTAAGAGGCCGTAATGAGACAGTAAGGTTGCTGGTTACGGAGAAAATAAGTTATTCTATGAGGCAAATGGAAATTTGCTTCGTATGTAAGTTTGCTGCAGCGAGGGTATTTTATTTTTGTTTAATCCAATCAGGGTGGTTGTGGTCTCAGAGCTGGTGGGTTTGAGTATGTTTGTGGAAATTTGGGAAATTTGCTAAAATCAAATATTTTCTTACCTGTTAAGAAATCTTCATTGTCCTGTTTTAAAAATAAGAATGATTGCGCTGGTAAGGTTACAAAATACTCTTCAGACTCTACTTCCGTTCCATCTGGTAGAAAAACTCTAACATTAGACTTTGAGGGAATCTGAAAAGAACAAGTCTTAAAAGTTTTATTAAATGTAATCCCATTGTTGGTTTAACATTTAAGTGCAATTTTAGTTTATTTCATGTGCAGGCTTTTCTTTATAAAGAATACTGTACTAAAATGTTGTTAAAACTTTGTGCTTATTTATTATGATTTAAATGTATAACAAAGCTCTGTCATAATTTAGTAGTTCCCAAAAGTATTTCAGTATCCAAGTACCTAATATAAATCGTACCTGTAGCTTTGTTCTCCCTTTATTGACCAACTCTTCTAAGGTTTTACAGGCCACTCCGACTATTCTAGATCGTTTCGCATCTGACACCTTGAATCCTTTCATCGTGCCTTTCATGGTGTCAAAAACCTGAGTCTCAAATATTCAATCTGATATCTGAATAAGACCCATTGATACCAAAATATCTCGTAAAAACCATAGTTCAGGATCCATGTCGTTTACTTCACTGCTGTCAATTATGAGGGCGAAGGAGTAGAGCAATAATGCTTGAGCCGTAACAAAAAATAGAAGAAAGCAGGCTGCATCAATAGCAACACTGATCTGGAACAAATTAAATACAACATAATAACCATATGAAAAACTATAAAAAAGAATTGGAACCAAAATATTTCATGACGCCTATGAGCGTAGGGTCTATAGCTACAAATAATGCAACACAGTTCTGCTAGTCTGAATCCCACTAATCCAAATGTATGACCAATCCATACCAAAAACAACTAAGTTATAATGTGTTCTAAAATATACTACCGGTAACACTTCAGCTTATCGCACCCAGTATTACTTTTCACAGTTCCACAGAGAATCTGAGTTATCGTGTTAAATACCGATATAGAGATTTTGATTGGGTTCTATATACATTACAACTAAGTTAACTTAATTTTATTTTACCAGTCACATGAAATAAATAAAAACAAAAAGAATAGGTCGCTAAAATATCCTATTAAAGTTGTTTGTTTATTTTATCTTAGGTTTGAGTTGTTAAAGCTTAATACTGGTATGCATCCAGGACTACGGTACCTATCAATCCAATCTTAAAATTTAGCTAAGACCGATTAATATGACATTAATTTTAACTTTGTCAATTTAGCCAGTAGGATATCAGAAGCCAGATTCATATCGAAGGTGACAGCTTAGACAGTAACAGGTATACCACTGGGCCCTGCAATCAAAAGGGGACAATTGTGTCTAGCCAAAAAAATGAATTTTCATTATTTTCAAAATTAATATTTTACCACAATTGGTGATGAGGATCATGATGTCCCTGTGATTGCGGCAGATACACAAGATTTTGCTGCGGTTGCAGGTGACAAAAGTGTCCCAATGGGGAGACATTCACAATTTTGTCACGATAGCGAGGAAGTACTAAATAAGGGACGGGAGCCAATCAACTTATTCTGACAAAGGGTCGCAAGTAAGTTACCCTATATCCACCAATGATGATAAGATACTTAGGCCTAGGCTACAGTAGGCAGCTACTTAATCGAAGTTGGGAAAATTCTTGGCCAATGCAAATTGAAATGCTTGGTCATAAGTTAGGCTGCACTTTACTTTACATCCTACACTCATTCGAATGAAAATATCAATCAATAAGTTAGGCCTATATCTATATTATTCTATGTACTGTATCATTTGGTTAGTTAGGTAAGGTTAACCTAACCCAACTAATCAAACGATATATCGAATGAAACAATCGATAAATCAATATTTTCATCCGCTTGTTTCATTCAAATGAGTGTTGGACGTTAACTAAAGTGCAGTCGGACTAAGTTTAGACCTTGGAATCTATAACAGTTAGTGAGTTAGATCCATTAAAATTCTTAAAAGGATGTTATATCAACTAGCCTTTAAAAAATCACATAAAAAATGCATCTTTCAACTTAACTTTATGGCTTTAGGCATATTAAAAGCCTAAGTTTAGGTCTAAATCAGACATAGGCCTAAGTGAGTTAACTTAATAGAATATTTCACTAGTTTCACCACAGACTAGGGTTCCCACTTACCTTCCAAATAAAGGATAAAATCATAATCCTTGCAAAAAAATGAAATTCAAAAATTCCCTTCCCAACCACATTGTAAAGTCAGGTCACATAAATTGTAAACACACATTTATGCCTATCACCATTCTGGAGTCAAGAACAATTTTCTAAATTCACGTCCTTTAGCTTGCCTATTACTTACTATTTTTATAAGCACTATGCTGAAAGATAAAATTACTGGAAAATATTCAATAGGTTATCCTTAAAATTGTAAATAAAAATTAAATGTCTGTTCTCTGTCTCTCCTCTCTCACCCTCCTCGTTCCGTTCTACGTTGTGTTGTTGTGTTTTTGTTTGTGTTATATGTTTATGACATTTTCATTTTCATTCATTATCGCTTTTGATGAAAAAACTTAAGATTTTTACCATGTAGTCGTTCAGCTACAGTTCAGTGGATACCAACATAGATGCGTCCATTGATTATGCATGGTACAAATAGACTTCTCATGATTCCATGGTTGTAAAGTTTGAAAAACACTGTTATGTACGTTTTGAGTCTTAAGACATAAGACATTTATTCATCATTTTATATATGTAATGCATAGACAGGTCAAATTGTTGGTAAATACATCTCGTATTCAGTCTTGGGTAAATAAATGTATAAATAACAAGGAATTCAGTTAATACAGTCAATATAATACAAGAGTTAAAATTGAAATTGAGCGACGAGCAAATAAATACAAAAGTTACATACCATGGCAAGAGATTTAAAATTTGACAGTAATAAATTAAAAATGCCTGCAACTTATATCTAAATCACAGTTACATCCTATTTCAAATATTTTTTATTAACTTATCAGACATGCTAAAAAAATCCTCGACACGGTAGAGCCACGGCCGCCTTTAGAGCGGATTGTTTTTAGGTAATTTATTTAACAGCCTGATACCCATCACAACATGTCCTGATCTAGTTTTTTCCAACCGTACCTGAGGCAGATCAATCTTTTTGCAGTTTCTGGTACTAATACTGTGCACTTCATTTCTCATTTTGTATTTAAAGCTATTCTTAAAAGTAATCAATAATAATTGATAAATGTATAAGTTAATGATGGTCAATATTTTTAATTCAATAAAAAGGGGTTTACAGTGTGCTTCACTATCCTCTTTACACATTATTCTGATGATTTTTTTCTGAGATTTTACTGAGTACCTCGTGGATTTTAGGTGAGCTACCATCTATATAATTAATACGCTACATGAAACTTTGTCGGTTGAACTCCTCCGCCATTTCTTAACAGATTTTATCCATTGATGTCTCATTGGAAAGAGCGTGTCGCGTAGATTTGCAAACTAACCTTACATTTTTGAAAAAGTCCCTTGGGCTCTGCCCCAGTGGCTTTAAAAGTTCCCATGTAATCCTTATGGAGAACATAATTGTTTACATTTTGATCAGCTGTATAATTTAATTGCTGTTATTTTTCAATTCAAATGAAACGCATTGAGTACATTTATTTACTATTTGAGTTTATGTAAACATAACCCCCAAGACGGATCGTGTTAGTATGGTTGTAACTTAAAGTTGTGTATTTATCGTTGTTTTGTGTCGCTATGAAGGATCGTGTTAGTATGATTGTAACTTGAATTTATGCATTTATCGTTGTTTTGTGTAGCTATAATTTGTTTATTTGTTGTTTTTTTTTCTTTTAAATGCCTCCGACGTGACGACAACGAAACATAGACAGGAGGCGTAATCGTGATAACGACCGCAGAACCGTGGCGCGTAATAGGCTTAACTCATCACAGTCAGCACCTGACCCTGGACAATCTCAACTATTAGGTTACAAATGCGCCCTAACACTACCCCAAAACGACTTTTCGTTCTCAATTGGCCCTCTATCAATGACCTGTGTTGCCTGTACAGCGAGGCATTTTGAGAAGGAGAAAACCGGCAGGAATGCTTTAGGTTTATCAATAACGAAGATAAAAATGGTCTGAGCTACACACCAGTAATCTTGAGTTGACTCTTTTAAATTAATGGTAAATATGACAGTTATTCGTTTTAAAATAACTCCTGTAATACTTTGCAATTGCTCGAATTCGAGCAACATGTACACTAGTATAAATTAAACCAAATGAAGCAATTAACTGAAATAATGCAAAATATAAGTCGTGAGGTTCTATTACGCTAATTTTGACTTAATATTAGATTGTTAGTAATTAAATACATCAATGATTTTTTTTCTATTTTTAGAATAGATTTTTTAATTTGTACTCCTCAAAACACTACACAAACAGAATTAAGTTGACTATAGACTAGTAAGCTAGTAGACTAAACATCAAAGACATCCCAAGAACAAAACGACCTGCGCAGAAACTAAAACTAAAAGATCACGTGGTTCACGACGGTGGGGGTGGGTGTGGCGTACCCTATAAACCTTTAAACCTGCGCGGCGCGAAAAGGCCCAGGGTTGTTTTGTTTCTAGGATGTCTACAGTTTTACTTTCAGGAAATGTTGCCACTCTTTTTTTATAACTTCAGTAAAATCCCAAAAGAAGTAACATATGGATGTGACTAACTTTGTTGCTTGAATACCGGCTTCAGTAGGCCTATCCAATACTCAATAATACCGGACAGACTGCCAGACTGGACTACGGGATTACTCCCAAGCCCAAGCCCAGAAAATGGAAGACTGACTAAACTAATAAACGGTATCAGCAATCTGTATCTGACACATACTTTTACTCCCGTTAGCTAGTCAACAACCTTTATCATAGGTAAATGCCGGGACTAACTATGACATATCATAGGGAACATCACAAAAGTTTCAATAACTTTCTAGCCTTAATTTTTTTAGCAATTGTCTGTACCATTTCGTTTATAATCATAAGGTACATATCATATTACATAGGTACATTTTAATTGAAATTAGTCAATCCGTTTGTTTTTTTGTTGGATATTTTGTTATTTTATTGAGTTTTATATCATGGGAAAGTCACATTAATTACAATAACTTTTGAGCCATATTTTACAGCAATGGGGATTGTATAGTTTTTTTTTCAGAATTACAACTACAAGGGCTTCAATTTGAATTAAAATTGTTCGGGCCATTTTTGTGGAAAATAAATCTTTCAGTTTTTATGGGAAATTTCCCATGAGAAAAAAAATTAAAAAATCCCTAGAGGTATTCTAGATTAGTAGCCACATACAAAATATGAAAATTGTAGGTCTGTACACATACATACACACAAAAACCACTTTTTTGGGTCCAGGAGGACCCAAAATGACTATATCCACCCAAAATGTCGACGAAAACAATACCTTCTCCTGATATAGGGGGAGGAAGTTAAAAAATATACATACTGTTCGACCCAGGAACTTCTTATAATCTAAATGTTAGGTCATTAATCAAACAGGAATGGGTAATAAAGTAGCAAACACATAAATAGAAAATGAATAACACTTTAATTGAGTAAAAAATATTGTCTTAATCCTATTGTATGTATAAGGCCTCAAACATGAGAGACAAACCTATTTACATCCTATCAAATCTATTTGAACTGTTGTTCAACTTTCTACTATGCAAAGTTGATTAGGTTTTTATACAAATCATGTTAAGATTGGCATATTACTTAGTGAAAATACTATGTAACCCTACAGTAACAAGAAAAAAAAAACTTTAAGAAATGTGTTTTTGATCACATTAAAGCTGTATAGATAGTTAATTATGAGATAGGATTGAGGAAAACTACTATAAAACTTAGTGGTCTCATTTATTCAATTCCATTTGATTGGGATTTAGGACTCAAAATAAAATGGACTTGCGTGTGACTGACAAACCCAAACATTGTTTTATCCATAGCCGAACAAACAAGCACAACCTGTTTGTCTAGTGCTTTTCAGTAAATTCAGTTTCATTGTTACATTTATTAATGATTAAATATATTACTGTAGTTTATTACATTTGCTAAAATGATGAATAATTCTCTTAAGTCTGTATTTTTTCAGGTTTTTATTTAGTTTTTGTGGTTCAGACTTTTTTGTTCAAACCAGGGTTCAGTCCCATTGTGTCGAAAAGAGAGGAAGTCTACTGTACTAGTTTTGGATAAAATCAATCAATTATATCAATTATTTAAGATGGGGACGCCACTATGTGGGTATTTTAACCCAAAATGAGTGAAGGATGAGTGGCGCGATCTTGTAGTCTTGTTGGTGACTAAAGCAGACATGTTCCTTAGAAACAGCTGTTAATTAATAGCCATACAGCCAATGACAACTAAGGGACCTTCAGTTTATAGTTGAATCCGAACCACATTTTTCCTTGTAATTAACGAATTGGTCTAATCAGGGCATAAAATAACATGTTAACTGGGCGACAAAAGTGTCGCCCAGTGCTGAGATTTTGTCGCCCAGTGACTATGGGTGGTGCCGGCATATTTTTTTTTTAATGATTCACATTTTAAATGTATAGGAATTTAAAATAACATTATGTATATTTAGAGTATTGAGCTATGTATGATTTTGGCCCAAGAGACAATTTACAAGCAAATAAAATTCACTAAAAGATACGTAGAAATGTGTGATTTTCACTTAAATTTATGCTAAAATTTCCGGGGGGGGGGGGGGGGCTCGGACCCCCCTTTTTGATGGGGGTATTAATACCCCCCAGGCCCCCCGGTAAGTCCGGCGCCACTGTCGCCCAGTGGAAATCCCTTAAAATATGCTCTGGGTCTAATTATCAGGATAGTACTGCGGATAGTCATGGTACTCACTAGTGCAGATGTTAATCCACACCAGGGAGCATCGCATCCACAGTGCATGCCTATAAATATCTATAATTCGTGACTTAGTAACTGGATTACAGAATAATTTCTGATATCACCTACTAGTAGTTGTCCAGTAACAGCGGAACACTTTAATTGTGCAATGCAATGTCTGAAAACATTGGTTTTAAATAAAGATTACATGAATATTGACAAAATTACTCACTTAAAATACTGCATAACACTAAAACTAAAATGTTATTGTTAATCTTACATATATTTTAAATAATATAAACATAAAGGCTAATCATTGATCAACCATGTGCAATAAAATCTTCCGAATCCACCGAAGGTTTTAAGATATAGCCTAACCTAAAACTAAAAGCTATCACCTGATAACTCTATTGCATTGTAAATAAAATGTTAACAATACTGTACATTCTCTGTTGTGTGATTAGTTGGACTGTAATCAAAATTTCTATTCGTGGTGACTTTTAATTTTTCAAAGATGACAATTCCACCTGTTTCTTCAGCTTTGC